AGCAGCAGGACGTGCGCAGAATTAACGTCATTTGGCGTCATGTTGGACGGGAAACAAAGCGGCGCTTGCCGCAACAACTGGTTTTTTAGTGTTTTTAGTGTGAGTTTTTGATCATGTGTCTCGTTCTCGTAGGCCGCCTCATCATCCTCGAGACTAGCTGTTGTGGCGAACGCCGCTTTGATTTTCCCTAACGTGACGCCAAATGACGTTAACTCTGCGCGCATCCTGCTGCTGGAGCAGGCAATCGCTTAGTCTGGCGCTTACCTATGGGAAAAACGCTAGGACTCACCAGGTAAACGCAAAAAGGAGGAATGTAACGACTCAGAGCTAACATCAAATCAAGGATGAAGCGCCAGCAAATATGAGTTTTGATAAAGCAACTTATCTTATGAAAACGGTGAATGACGTCGTACTCTAGGGGCTCTAGGCGTTACCAATGTGGCCCCGCCGGGTTTTCCACCCCACTGCATTGGAAGCAGCTGCGATGAAAACGACGCTGGCACGTCACTGCAATCATTCATTACTCGAGTACCCTGAAGAGTGAATCCTCGCCTGAAAAGAAAATCATGTTTGACGATCACTGCGGTAAAAAAAGTGTCGAAAGAAACTCACGGCACTGCGCGAATTTGATGCGGTTGTCCCCAGCTGGTGGGTGCCATTACAGCTGTCATCTGAATAGGCCACTATATTGCTAATTGCTGACAGACATGTGAACGACATGCTGGATCTGAACTTATTGGGGACTGTCCCATCTGTTTCTGTGGCGGGAATCTCTGCGTAGGGACCATACCAATTTGCTGCTGGCGCTCAAAGTTCGGCCATTCACCGGCTTGTGGATCATGGTGTATAACCAGTCGAAGAGAGTTTGGCTGAAAGAGTTGAATCTTCAGGAAAAATAACCATGATTTACCAAGTACGGGTATGCTCACTTCAGAGACACCGGTATGGGAACGAATTCTGCCATGGCGCAACCGCGGACTACTGATCTTTACAAGCTCAGACATTCGCACCGGCTGGCGACCGCACCAATACCGGCTGGTGGGG